GGTATTTCAAAGTTTAAAATTTCATTGAGTATTCTATTTATGGGGCATAAAGTAGTAAAAACGACCTCACCCCAAAGATATTTTAGCAACTGATTTATAAAAAAATGCCAAGCTACTTCCAATAAGTATTTATTTTTTTCTTTCAGCGCAATATTTTATTGTGGGATAACAACAAAAGAGCATTGATGAACTACTCTTTTTTTCAGAAAAAAATTAACCAAAAATCTTTTGAAAATACTCTGAACTTGTGTTCATTAGTAAAAGCCACAAACTAATTTTTTTTCAGAGTACGTAAGATGTTTACAAGGACCCCAAATATCACTATGAATCAAAACACATGTTGTAGTTGCTTTGTAAATTTGAGGAGAAAAAATGCACAATGATGTTTGGTAAATTGACAAACTTCACATTGAAAAAATGACATTTTTATTCTGAAATAATTAGAAAACAAAAAATTTTAAATACTGAAAACTAAGATAACTTAACCTATAAAGCCATAACATAATATCATTGCCTTTGGAAACGAAACCTGAATTTAAATATGTACTTTGACATTTTCTATTCGTATTAAGTCCATCGTCAAATTAATAGTCTCATCCATTTCTTTAGCACTGTCAATCATTCTTTTAGCGGTCAATTCCTGAAACTCACAGCAAGAAGAATAGAAAGCTTGCACTGATGATCAAAAATAATTTTATTAATGGACAATAAATTATAAGACAAATTGGGAACATAGAACGTTCACGAAGGGTGGGTTAACAATAAGGTGAGTGTTACAATTCCCATTCTGATAATCACCAAGAGAGAACTATCTGCAATTTTGATATTTTTATTGCTTGCACAAAGTTTATAAGATGAGAATAATTTAGAACAATCAGTTGCACCAGAATCAATTATTCAAAAATGAAGAAAATTAAGTTTAACACCTAACAATGCAGTGATTAGAGAGTTGGTCTTTTGTACTAAAGATTAAAAAACTCCTTAATGATTAGAGAGTTGGTCTTTTGTACAAAATCAGTGACAATTTTAGAGATTGAAACACCTTGTGCGGGTGCTCTAGTTACTACTTGGTGAAAGAGGTTGCATCCAATTTGCAAAAAACTCCTTAATTTTCTCGACATTAGCTTGACAGGCTCAACTTTCTCGTTTGGATTTTGATTTCCAATTCTTGGGCTTACCATGAAGCTTCTAATATGTCTCCTGCGTATGCCATGATGTTTTGCAATGCTCACCAACATGGCTAGGGTGAATTGATTTTCGAGTTATTGGAACCAGTAGAAACAACAACAACAACAACAACAAAGCATTAATCCCACTACGTGGGGTCGGCTACATGAATCTTTTTTCTCCATTGTGTCCTATTTAGAGTCATATTTTCATTTAGTTCTAGTAAATTAAGATCATTTTTTATACAATAAGCTTTTAATACAATAAGCCCAAGTCTTCCTAGGTCTACCTCTGCCTTTCTTAACACAAGTCGAATCTAAAACATCTACTCTCATTCAGATCATTAGATGGTCGACATTTAATGTGATCAAACCATCTAAGACGACATTCTCTAATTTTGTCCGTCACAGGAGCTATACCAACCCTCACGAATATATTCATTTCGCATTTTGTCACTAAGTGTAAAGCCACTCATCCACCTAATAATTCTCATCTCGGCAACACCTAACTTATTATTATGCTTCTCTTTCAAAGGCCAAAATTCAGCGCCAGACAACATTGCAGATCTCACCACCGTCTTAAAAAATTTTCCTTTCAGTCTAAGCGGTATTTTTCTATCACACAAAAGGCCCGAACCATTCCTCCACTTAAACCAACCAACTTGAATTCTAATATTAACATCCCCATCTATATCACCATCACTTTGAACGGACCCAAGATATCTAAATCATTTACACCTTTTAATAATTTGATCACCCAAAGTCACACTTTTGTCACCAGAGCTACTACTACTAAATTACATTCCATCTAATCAGTTTTAGTTCTACTTAAATGAAGGCCTTTAGACTCCAATGTGGACCTCCATATTTCAAGTTTTTCCTGAGCTTTTTCTCTTGTTTTATCCACAAGAAGGATATCATCAGCAAAAAGCATACACCAAGGTACATCCTCCTGTGGATGTCCAATAAGACCATCCATAACTAAAGCAAAAAGATATGGGCTTAAAGCCGATCCCTGATGTAATCCAACAGAAATAGGAAAATATTTGGTCAATCCTCCTTCAGTTTGAACACAAGTAACAACGCTAGTATACATATCTTTAATGACTTGAATATAAGTCATATCAACACCTTTCTTCTCAAGAACTCTCCAAAGGATATATCTTGGAATCTTATCGTAAGCTTTTTCTAAATCAATAAAAATCAAATGTAAATTCTTCTTATTATCTCTAAACTTCTCCATCAAACCTCTCAATAAATGTATAGCTTCCATAGTAGACCTGACCGGCATAAATCCAAATTGATTATGAGAAATCTTTGTAATGCGTCTTAACCTATGTTCCCCATAACTTTAAAGTATGACACATCAACTTAATTCCTCTATAATTTGCACACTCTTGTGCATCCCCTTTATTCTTAAAAATGGGGGACCAAAATACTCTTCCTCAATTCCTCAGGCATCTTTTTAGTTTTTAAAATAATATTAAAGAGTTTAGTAAGCCAAGAAACTCCCAAATCTCCTAAATATTTCCACACTTCAATTGGGATATCATCAGGTCCTACAGTCTTTCCACCCTTGATTTTCTTTAAAGCCCCCCAACTTCTTTTTTGGGCGCCTGTCATCGTTAACTTGTACATCACCATCAGAGGCGAGAAGAGGACGGGATAGAAATTTGAGTAAATTTCAATTTCAACACTTAAAGATGATTAGAGAAATCGACTAAGAAGTTCTTGTAGAGAAGAATCTGGATTCCTCTTTAAAAAAAATGATTGTGCAAGCCTTTAAAGTAGTGATAGTCACAAATCAAGTTCATGTAACATCAAACTAGGCTTACGGGTTTAAGTTCAAACCAACAGAGAAATCGAGCTCTTGGTCTATGGGTTTGAACAGGTGGAGAAGGTGAGGATTTCAATAAGGAAAATCGAGTATGAGTAGAACGTGGCTAGGTCTCGTGGAAACAAAAGGAGATTTGAGAGTTTCAGAGGATTTCACAAAACGCAATCCCGTTGTAAGGGAGATCAAACAGTGCATCTTCGAAGTGTCTTTGAAAGGAGATGAACCGCAGGTTTAGTAGCAATGGGAAAGACAAAAGCAACCTAGGGGAGCTTCCACTTTGATCGCGCCTTCGAAGCGTCTTCAAGAGGCTACCGCATGCAAAGGGTCGTGAGCGGCGTCTTCGAGAGTTACAACTTCGTAAGTGTCATCAAGATCGCATGTTCCTCTCCAGGAGCTCCAAACCAATTTCGGTCATGAGCAAGAGAAAACTGAAGCACGATTGTTGGCAAGAGAAAGTCGAAGCTTTGAAGATTAGCGTCACCGCCTCTACTGCAAGAACTCTAGCTCTGATACCATATATTTTTGGGAGAAGGAAAAAATAATTATTCCTCTTCAATTTCATAAAACTTGGTTACAAGATAAATAGCAGGGGAAGACTACCAAAATTAGGAAAGCCATAAAATCCCAATGCTAAAAAAGGAAAATAGAAATTAACAAACAATAGATAATTCTAAAAATAAAAACTCCTAAAAATAGAAAATAATAAAAATAGAAGATACCAAAAGCTGAAATTCCTAAAATTCTGACAATAGACATTTAACTCATTATACAATTACAATTACCATATTTTTTCACCACTTGACTTTATCTCACTCCTACACTATCAAATTGCCCATTGAGTTCTCAAACATAGTGACGTAACATTAGGATTGTCATATAGGACGTTACTTAGTTCACTTAATTATTGTCAACATTTTCACTAATACAAATTGTCATTGTCATTATACTACCTTCATTGTCACATTTTTAGCGTCATGTAATTTTATCCCAAGAAAGTGTTAATGCCCTTAGTAAAAGCCCAAGATTTTTTTATAGGTGATCAGTTTCTTACTATTGCTACTATTTGTGATACCCATACTCACTTCCACCTTCACCACCCCCATGGCCGCCACTTACCAACTTAAGAGAAAATAGTTTCTTTCAACCTAGGTGAAATGACGCATAACACAAAACGAATAACAATCAGATTCTTCTCCAAATCAATCTTTGCCACATATTTATTTAGCTTTTATATATGTTTTAAGTATGTAACAAGGACACATTAATTCTTATCTTACTAGCTTCAAGTAATTTTAGTATGCACTGACTATTAACAACCCTACTCTAAATTGCCTTAGGATTATATAAAAAAAATTGAAGAATGGAATGAATATAACAAATTAAGGCTTCCCAAGTATATCTCTCCTCTCTTCTTCTCCCATCTTCTCTATCATTCTTCCTCTCTCTCCCCACTCAGATATCTCATGTTAGTTCCCATTCATCTATAAAAAGTATTCTTGTGGCCCGCTGCATCAGTGTGCTGCTATGGCACCCCTAAAATTTTTATTGAAAAAATCAAAGACTGTATATTTTCTGGGTTGTCATAACCATGATTCCACCTAAACAAAGGAGAAAAAAATTAACAGTGGTCATTCATTTGTTAACGGTGCATGTTCAGAAGAGAAAATGAGTTGAAACTCTAAATCAAGAAACACCAAAGATTATTCAACTTCCCTTGAAAACATAATTATTTAATTAATGACAAGTAGAGCAATAAAGCAAGATTTTAAGCAAAAAAGGCCAACAATAATCGTCTAAACAGTACAAAAAGAAAACAAAATGGTTCAATAAGTTAAAGAGAAGCACAACAAATCATGCCATTGGATAAAAGAGAGAATAATGCAGACAGAATTGAATCTATCATGAACTAACATAATAAAAATCATTGCCGAATCTACGGGATCAACAAAGAAAAAAAAACAATAGTAATTTGTAACGAAACATAAATAACCACCAACATTATTGAGCATCTGCGTTGCCGCTTTTTCTTCTGCTCCTTCAATCTTGGTGGAGGCTGAATAACAACCTTGATTGCAGCATCAAAAACAGCCTTAACATTCTGCAGAGTAAGAATGAAGTTCGAAATTAACAGAGGGATAAAATTTTACATGATTCTCATCAGACCTTAAGGGGAGAAAAAAAGGAAAAAAACATCAACTTTTGAAGAAACATGAAAAATAAAAGTGTCAAAATATCCCCCTGACTCTTTTTAGAGGTCCATTTTAATCTCAGAAACTATAAAAGTGTTAATTTTGTCCCTAGACTCATTTAATGGTGGCCAAAATAGTCCAATATGAGGACAACTTCAGCCCATATTGAAAGAGTCTAGGGACTAATTTAACCCTTTTATAGACTCTTAGACTAAAATGACCCATATAAATTGTCATGGGGAGTATTTTGACACTTTACTCGAGCATTAACAAAGGTATAAATAATATCTTTTTAAGTAAAAAGTTCATTCCTTTAACAGCGTAAGGGTTAAATTCAACAAAAATTCATGCCACTGCAAAAGAGAAAAAAAAAGATCATCAACATCAACATTAACCTGCTGCGTTTTTGAGCTGCATTCAATGTAATATGCTGCACCAATCTGCTTACGCAATTCTTCTCCCTGACATCAAATTGAGCCAAGGAGGGTGTGAAGAGATTCAACACTTGTAATAAGCAGCATGTTAAATTGCGGAAGCCGTGCAGGATAGGTACGAAAGATGCACCTGTGCTGCTGTAACAGCAACTACGCCTGGGTGGTCTGCCAAATAACGCTTATCTTCACGAAGATCTGAAAGGGCATATCAGCCATTAAAAAACTATCTAACCACATTCGAATCATAAGAAAAATAAGTATGTTGATGCTTTTGGATTTATATTTTTATTGGTTGAATATAACCAAAATAAAAAAAAATGCAAGAAGTTGTGAGCCTGCAAGTATAATTTTTTTCAGTACAATATAAACAATTGAACTATCAAGGAAATAGAAATACTGGAAACTTGATCAAAGGACGACCTTTTGTCAACGTCATTTGCAACTACCTACGGCACAAGTTAATAAGTAATGAATTTGATGGTACAATCTTATATTCAGATATTATTCAAATTGAATTTAGAAAAAAGTATATTCATAGCTAAAATTATAATGAGTATGAAGGGAGGTCTAGATGCCCGGTTATGGGAAAGAAAAAGTATTGGACATAGGTATTGCTAAAACAAAAAAGTACGCAGACATTCAGAGATGTAAAGCTATATGCTTTATGATTCACGGAAATGAATATTTTAGAGATATAAATATACATGTACAAGTGCTGCACAAAGGAACAAAGGAAGAATCATACAACCAAAATGCACCTTTCAAAATAAAAATATCAAAATTTGTGTATAAAGTCCAACTTAGTATGTACTCAATTAGAAGGTAAGAGGGCCAATATTCTTTTCTGTTAGAAAGAAGCCATAACTCTCCAATTATCCTTCAATGCTTAAACGGAAAATGATATCTAGCCCACTGATTGCACCAATGGCTTTAATTGGACCCAAAAGATTAGTGGCCTCCTGAATATCATTCCAACCATATTCAAATGAGGAAATCTAGTCATTCTTTATTATTATTATTATTTTCTAGATAGGGTAATTATTGTTGCAAATACTGAATTGGAACAGGGCATATCTGTTAGAGATATGTTATGCATGCTTCTTAGCATAGTATAATTCTATCTCAAGAATAAGGCCAAGTAAAATTGTCCTGAGTGTCTGTTTCAGAATCAGAATAGTAAATGCAAATGCAATATAGGGTGAAAAAAGCTAACAAAAGCAAAAAATTTTCGACAACAGCCCAAATAATGGAGAAGTATAGCCCAAATCAAGTATGCAAAATCATCTGCATATAAGCAGAACACAACTGGCAGGAGTTATTTGCCATTATATGGACCAAATAGTATCTAACTGTGATACTCAATGAGAAAGTCAGAATGGGAGTTTACAACATTTAATGTTTTATGATTTTGCTTTTAGCAGGCTCACAATTACTTCCCAACAATATTTGTTATTAATTGGTCGCTTGGTTGATTGGATCTAATATGATTTAGGATCCTATAAAGACCCTGAACAAAGATTTAAGCTACTAAGAGAAAGAGATTTTGGTTAATAAACAAATACTTTATCAAGAAAAATATTAAGCAAGGAGTAATATTTATGACCTGTGTCAATACAGCACAACAAATGACATGTTGATAAACTGTTCCTAGATCAAACTAAGAAATGCTTGTTGGAAAGAAGGAAATGATAAACATTTATTCTCCACCTTGTAGAGCACCTTGTGGAGAGACGCAAAAACACGGGAATATCTTTCCCATTTTGCAAGGAAGAAATGATGATCTTTTTTATTTTGACTACTACGGCTCTTCTTCATATTTGAAGTTGCATTTTGATTACAACTCACCATAGAATTTCCTTTTTATCTTCATTGCATTAATCAGCTGAATGAAACAGTTGAGAACAAATTATTACTACCTGCTCTATTGTCACATCCAACTGACCAAAATCTTTTTGGCTATTTTAAAATAACCCCAATGAAGCCTACAAATAGGGCTCAAATCAATAATTTTATTCATCCCATTTATTCAACTCTGTAGTTCCTCGAAACTCAAAGGTTAAAATAACAGTCCCATACACAACCAACCTTGAGCTGCGGTTAAGGAGACAAGATCACATGACTCGATTAGATCAAGTTTTTATAGCTAAGTTACTAACTTCAATCTCAAATGTTTTTTACTCTTAGTTCAGTTGTCAAACTCTTATTTAAATAACTTATTTGTAGACGCATTCAAGTCATTGCATTCCATTGACAACCTTCTATGCTAATACAATGTGTTATATCTTCCAAATCATCAACATAGCATAACCTAGAAAATCATTATCTTCACATACACCAAAACATAATTTATATGAATTATTTAGTAACCTAGGTAACATTGCAAAATAGAAAATAGCCCAAGAAATTTCATGTACAAGAATGATTCATAAAAACCCCATTCTCAAGAGGCATGTGTTTTCACAAAAATCCATCATGAATTGGAGATGATACATCATCACGGTATTAAAAAAAGAGTTTAAAAATTGGCATTGGTTTCTAATTGGTCATTTTTCTCCAAAAACACGCTGCTTCAAGTAACTTTATGCAAATATATTCAGCGCTTAGGGTGTAAATAAGTCATGTCTGTGAAAGCTATTCCAAGTCCAGACCACTTTATTTGCCGTCTATCTAAAAAAAAAAATCCAATCTCAAGCTCTTTAGAGTACATTGATCAAGCTCAACTCATTTGCCAAACATAAATCATGAATTAGTTTAGGTATTTAGGGACCATTAAAAGTGCAAGAGATAAACTAGAAGGATAGAATAAACAAGAAAAAAATGGGTCATATCACGACTATGATTGGGACTATATGAATGATGTCATATAAACCATCATCTAATAATGAAAGATTGAACTTTAAAGTAAGGACTTAATAATGTATTTTAAGTAACCTAGACTACCCCATGGTCCTGATCTAAGCTAATAGAGAACTATGAGTGGATTTTCACATAATTATAACATGTCCAAGTCTATTTGTCAAGCAAATTGAGGTCAATGGAGATGTGTATATTTGTTATTAAAGGCATTAGGCGTCCTCAGGGCAACATGGCTACCAAATGTGTGTTCAATGCTTGCTTGAGCAAAGCGAGACATATTAAAAGCATTGTTAGAGAGTACAATATAATCATTATAATTAAATCTTAAAATTAAAAAAAAAATGTATTTTCAAATTGTGGCATTGAAGAGCCAAAATAATAAAATCATATGATAAATTTTCTTAAACAAAATGTCGATCAGGCAAAAAATTTATCTTTCAAATTTAAAAAAAATGATAAGAACCTATGTCAGCAACTTCAATAATTTAAGATTATTACATTCTTCACAACTATTGATTTCATCTTCTTCATTGCTAATGCTCAATTCTAAAATAATAAAAAAGAAAATCATGATAGAAGCGAGCTCTTAGAACCTTACACCAAGGCACTCACCTATGCAATTACTTAGCCTCAACTTAAATCGTCTAGTCACCTAGATGAGCAACAACTTAAATGAGAACATGCATGTACCTATCTTCCCCCTCTCTATAGTAAGCATCAATGCATCTAGACATGACTAAGTTGGCGCTTGAGTTTTTCAAGAAAAAAAAAAGTTGGTGCTTGATATCTTTTTAGTTTATTTTGTAAACAAGCTTATACAACCTTTTCAAGCTTGCTCATTTACTTCTAGATTGAGCCAAACTAACTCCCTCTTTACTCATTTATTTAGAAAATGAGCCAACATTAGACATCAAGAAAAATAAGGCATGATGCCCAATACCGTTGACAGGAATTACAAGACATACTTAGCTGCATGTAATTATTCATATTTAGTGGGCTATTCTTTCTGATCACATAAACCAGTTCAAAAGAGCTCATTTTAATTATAAAATCAACACAAGCAAAGCTGACAAGGTATTGTTTCATCACAACTTAAATGCATGATTCTTGAATGCTAAAACTATTCTGATTTGAGGGATAAAATATATGATGCTTGCTTCCATACCCAATTTTGTGCCAACCAGTACAATAGGAACTCCAGGAGAATAGTGTTGTAGCTCAGGAATCCACTAAAATTATATCAGAAGAAATCAAAACACAAGCATGTAAAACAAATAATGTACATGAAATAACAAACATAAACAAAATCATCATCACAAGTGCACCTTTTTCAGCACATTTTCATAGCTGGCGCGACTAACCAATGAGAAAGCCAACACGAAGACATCAGCACCTCGATAGCTCAAAGGTCTCAGTCTATTATAATCCTCTTGCCCTAGTCACAGTAAATCTCAAACAGTAAGAAATCTCCTTCAAAAATCCAGGAAACCCCCAATTTTAAGAAAAGAGCTCAGCAGACAATCACTACAGCCTTACCAGCAGTGTCCCATAGCCCTAAATTCACTGTCGTTCCTTCAACCACTACATTTGCACTGAAGTTATCAAATACCGTGGGTATATAGTCCTAGAAAAAGCAGCCCGGAGTTCTAATTAATCAAAGAATCAAGGAAACCCTTGTACAATCCCAGCGAAATACATCAAAAAATAAAGACCCAGAAAACATTTCAAAGAAAACGAGGGCCAAACCGTCGGGAATTTGTTGCTAGTGTAGCAGATTAGCATGCAGGTCTTTCCAACGGCGCCGTCCCCAACTGTTACGCATTTGATGAACCTCGATGCGCTTGAAGACATACCTTTCGGCTGACAAAGGGGGGAAGAAGTGCAGGGGAGGAGGAATTTCGAAGAAGATTGGGAAGCTCTCAGTATATATATATATATATATATAACAGCAACGCTGGATCACATGATTCCTGCTCTCTATCCCCTATCTCTCTCTATCAAGATGAAAAGTACCAAGAAACGGATGATAGAGAGATCTCACTCTTTCACCATGGGACGGACTTCGTTAATGGAGAATTAAAGAAAAGGTGGGATTTTGGGACCTCGGAATGGAGAGGACGGTGAGATGAATGTGAGTTTTTTAAAAAGAGATGCTTTTCTTTTTCCGGGAGCAGGACGTGAGGAAATGATGACTGTACTTAAATCGGTGAGGGTCGGCTAAATAAATAGTTTCTCAGTTAACTATCTGAGTTGACCGAGTTAAATTTGAATCAATTTATTGATGAGTCGTTTATGCATACATACCACACAATTCTTATGTATTTACATATCCGGACAACACAAATCTCTAAACTCGCATTAGAAAAATGCAATCCTTAAAATCTTATGACACTAAAATATGATAAGTATAAATATTAAATTAAAACATTAGATAATATTAAATTTTGTTTTATTTATTTTAGGAAAATTTACATCTATAGGCACATTTTTGTGTATTTACATATCTAATAACTAACCTTTGATATTTACATTAATAGAATTTTGATGCATAAAATTATACATGAAAATGAATATTTCACTTTTGAAGAATTAGTAATAGTGGTCTTTTTTTTTATGGGATGTTAATAATTTGGCTGTTAGGTATGTAAATATAAAGTTAATGAGCATAATTAATCTCGTCAATACCTGGCCATTATATGTATAGTTGGTGGTCTTAGTCCATTAAGCCCATGCAACCTATTTAGTAATAGGGTTTTCCTATTGTTTAAAAACTCATTGTTTTTATATGCATTTAGTTTATTGATTCCTTTAGTTCTTCGATAGAATACTACTAGAAGAATAAGAGAATAAGGCGTATATATGTATGTTTAGAGGGATGAAAAAAGTTGAAGCAAGTGTTCTGCTCTATCGGATATGTCTAAAGACATATCTTTTCATATTCGATCGAGAAGAAGCCTTCCACCACCAGTAAAATTTGTGGGTTGTGCATCGAAGAGTAGTTTCATGGGTTTACCATTGAACTCAAAATTTACTCTCTCTTAGGGCTCGAAAGCTATGCATGCAGGGAGTAGTCGGGAGTACTCTCGAGTAACTGTAGATTGTTTCTCATTCAAGAGCCAACGCTTTTTAGTTAATGAAAGCAACTCATTATGTGATTATGACTAGTAGATGTTTTAGGAGAATTTTTCTTTGTCGAGTTGCTCAGGGCAAAAGTACATAATGTTTTGAGAGACATAAATTATTTAAGTCTCTTGGAAGATGTACACTCCTAAAAAGTGGAGTAGAATGTGAAAAGTATGAAAATTCCTTCTTTTGAAGGATGAGTTGTTGCCGAGTTTTTGGGAATCATCAAATAATAACTATCAAATCATTTAGAATTATTACTGCGAGGACACTTACCGCACCATTCGATACACCGTCAACTTTTCCTAATAAAAAGATAATGTTAGTAATGGTGGCAATAATTTTTGTGGTTCTAACATTTTTTTTTTTACTCCTTGTGTGATATTTAAGAGTCGTGCTTGTCCTTGCGAAACATTAAGAGTCGAAAGTTTTGCTCTTGCGCTCCTTCGCTTTACTATGAAAAAATATATATCGTTACTTTAATTTACTCCGATGGGAGAGGTTTCCAAGGATAAGATGAATGTTCCAGAAGAACGGTCGCAAGTGATTCTTCAACGGAGGCTGAAGAGGATGAGACTTTCTAAGGATTCACACAGCTTAAAAGAAAAGGATGGTGGTGCAGAGAGTCTAAAGTCTATTTAAACTAAAGGGTTGTTAGGTAGTCTTGTATGGAGCACTGCAACTTTAAACATGATTTTGAATGTCGATCTAAGTAAGATAGCTCTAGAGGAAATGTCAACACTACCCATTTTAGATGCTATCTATGAGGAACCAATTTTGAAAGCCGATTCTGGGTCATCTATTTTTATTGTTTAACTAACTGAAAGGGTTCCAACAAATTACCCTCTTGGGTCTAAGTCCATGTGATTATGAGCCGGTCCCTTTCCACTTTATAGTTTTTTTAAAGAATTTGTACTCTCGATATTCTATATTTTCTTTTTGTAGAAAAATATGTTGATTGACAGTTGGAGGTGGTGGAAGAAACTCGAAATGATGTAGGTGAATCCTTTTTGGAAGGTAATATTGACTACTCCTCTATTGGTGTAACCCCATTACACTTTATAATTGCCGTGTTATATTTATAGGTATACGAAACACCGTGCAACTGAATTAGGATAGTGGTAAGTCCATGAAGACAAAAGTCCATGTTTCTGAAGGTTTGTCCTCGAAGGTAGAACCAATGGTTGTTGTTGAGAATAGATCCTTGGTAGGAGTTGAAACCCTCCCTTCGGCTCTATTTAATGTTGATCTCCTAAATCACATAAATCAATTATGCGGAAAGTCGTTATAAACTCGCTAGGGGTTGGGGAAGACTGTGAGAAGCTTGCACAAGCTTTGGAGGAGCTTGTAGAAGTGTGAGATTAGTTATTCATCATGAAAGATTAGAATGTGCATCTTGACGATAAGTCAATCGATGTGCAGGACCATGTTAATGGACCTAGAAGACGACTTGAAAAAACCCAAGAATCATGACATTGCTTTGGAAGAGAAATTAGCATGAGATTTTATAAACATTCAGGAGAATCATATAGAACTAGAAGAAAAAAAGTCAACGTTGATGCTTCTTGGTCAGTGAGTTGAGTGGCCCTAGACTCAATAGTTTTTTGCAAGAGGGCAATCAGTCATGAAGAAACTTTTCTAGTCAGTGATGACTGATTTGAATGCTGTAAATTATCAAAATTTATATTTATTTTGTCAATGACTATGATTGTATTTTTCTTTAAATTTCTCGTATAATGATTTTTTATGCGGAATACCATTACATTTTTTTCTTTTTTTTTCTAAAAGATAACATGTATATTTTTGCGTTTCAAGGTATGAATATAGCACCCCTGTGATGATAATTAATTTATTTCGAAGCAACATTTCAATTCCTATGTATTGACACCACCTTACTTATGCATCAAAATATATATTTCACTTTTTAATAATTAAAATGATGGTATTTTTAATCTGATATGAAAGTTTTGAGTGGTATAAATATAAAAACTGAATTTTAGGCGATAGGCATGTCAATACATAGGAATTGGGTGGTTTGCATGCAATAATAATGTGAAGCCGTTAATTATCTCTGTGATTAATAAAGGCTCAACTAATAATTATTATATAGTGTATCAGTAAGAATTAAATGTTAAAGATGGCATCATAATTATATATAAAAAAAATTGATTGATATATCAAACACATAAATATTAATTAATCTAGGTAGGGGTGTAAGTGAGTCAAGCCGACTCGTGAGCCGACTTGAGCTCGGCTCAATAAGTGGCTCGTGAACTGATCTTGATGGGCTAACAAGTCAAGCTCAAGTTAGCCCTGACTCGACTCGTTAGATCGTCAGCCGGTTCGTCCAAAAAAATATTTACATAAAATAGACTTAAAATATATTAAGTCTGAAAACTTTATGTTTAAGATATTAAGAATATTTTAAAAATAATATTCTATATTTTATATTAAGTGATTTATTATTATTATTATCCTAATTATTCATTTTGTCTCATTTTATTATAACATTATCCTAAATTAATATTATTTTCTCCCTTTTATAAAAAATAAGCTAGTTCAAATTCGTAGACTTAAGCTCGAGCTTGAACTCACTAAAATTAATCAAACTCAAACTCAAATTGAGGGTGGCTCGAGCTCAACTTGACTCATTCACAACCCTACCCTATGGATTATTAAAGTTTTGTAGCATAAGCAAAAATATAGGCGGAACTTTACACTTGGTAGCCTAATTATTTAAGCTGCATAAATTTTTTTTACTTGAGACATAAAGCAGATCTGGATCTATCTACCTTTTAAAATATTTTGTGCTTTAGGTGGTAGATTTAATTATTCAAGTTAGTTAGGATAAACAGTATTAAATGATAAAGTGTTGAACATACTTGGAAGCTTAGAATTGAAGTTGCTCATTCTTTCTACTAATTCATTCACATAATTATTAGGAAGATTTACATAAATACCCCTCAATCTTATGTATTTACATATCTAACAACTATATGTATACTAGAACCTATTGTGGGTACTACGATCGGTAATCCTCTGCTTCAGCTTTCAAACTATTATAACTGATAGTATATAAGAGCTTGGGAAGACTACTTGATGAACTAAGCCTAACGAAACTCTCAAACTTTGCAGCGTTTCAGAAGTTTAGGTAGAGTTCATTATACATTGAGCTAAACTCATTAACATAAGCTACGTGTTGAAAAATGTTGCAGTTTTTAAGGACTGATAATTTTAAAGTCTTAAAATCTGAGTCCAAATTAAATTTGAATATTTCACATTTATGGTCTCAATACTTTATTCTTTAAAATAAAAAATCTTGTCTCACTCTCACATAATCAATAAATTCGATTAGGATTGAAAATTAAATAAAATAATTCTGCCTACAGCATTTAACATATTAAAAAAAGGACAGTTGGGTATTAGGGCTAAGGGTTCGTTTGGGATAGCATATTCGATGCGGTGGTATTTTGAAAACACATTTAATCTGTTTAGGCAAGTTGAGTTTTGGCATCTTATGCGTTTTCAAAACGATAAAAACAATGTTTTCACACCACACCGATCTAGGTGCGGCGGCAACTTGCTAACTGCTGTCTGACTTTTCTAAAATAATAAAAATTTGTAATAGTTACCGCACTTATCTTATCAACAGAATATTTTTAATCAGCTTATCAGCAGATTATTCAATAAACTATAACTGCCCAAAAAAAAACCTAAATGATTGTTGATTATATTGTTGCGGAGTTTAGTTGCAATTAATTTTCTTCCAAAATTTACAACTGACATTGTCATACCCTATGAACAAATTGTAAGGCCCTCAAATTATCATACATATATAATATTGTGTATCCGCAATATTATTATTATATTTTTGATTATATTTTTGGGCTTTGTTCTGTCTTCTTTTTCTTAGGTGATGTGAACAAATCAGAATCCAACTTATTAACTTTCTTGCAGTGTTTAGTTATGTTATAATACAAATGAATCAAAATTAAGATAATTAAATAGTAGTCAAATTGAATATTATATAGATTATAAGTATGTTGATGTGAAGGAAAAAAAATTATTATTCAAAAGCAAAAAACATTGTTATTCTGCAAAGAGATGCTTCTGCTAACTACCAAGTCAAAATTAGAAGAAATATTTGCGTACCTCTAACGTACGCAGAGCTGCATACATTCGTAGGTTACAGGGAGGGTATTGAAGAGTTATATCTGCGTTATACCCCTTGTAACCTACATGTAACTTACAAATATATGAAAATATAAGCGCGAAACTTACTAGTTACATGTAGGTTACAAGGAGTTACATGGGGTATAATGCGGATATAACCCCCCAATACCCTCACTGTAACCTACTGACGTATGCAGCTCTGCGTAAGTTAGACGTACACAAATATTTCTCCAAAATTAGAATATTCAAATTATGATAAAAGAAATATGTTTTATAAATCAATAATCCATTGTTGAACTAAATTCAACTTTTGCAAAAAAATTTAAAATAAGAAAACATTATAGATAAATAGTATTTATGGACATTTTCATCCACCTTGATATTTAAGATCAGCAATGAAAAAGGTCAGCTCCATCTTCAACATCATTAGTTGTGATGCCGCCGTTCCGTGCCATTAGTATTCGGAAGATTCTCTTCGAGCAGACCTCACCCACCCTCCTATCTTCCTTTCCCAGCAATCCTTCCCCCAACAAATCCTTTAGTAAGAATTCTTTCTCGTGCGCCTGAGAAAAAAAACCGACGTTCGATCTTTTAATTGATGAGTTATGGTTCTGTCCTCACTATTAAGGCTTCGTTTGAGAACACAGACACACTCCATTCCGTTGAGTGAGCGCCGACGTGTAAATCTATATTTCGTTTGATAAAATAGAATATGCCGACGTCTCTCCAAATTATTTTGATGGAACGGACATTTTTCATCATATTAGAACAGAGATGACGATGCCTGTTCTGCCAAACGAAGCCTAATATTTCATGCCAAAACTTACAGATTTGCTTGGATCTAAGTATGCATCCAGAAGTGACCTCATGGTCGGATATTTCTTCCAGATAGCAATAGCATGCCTTGGCTGGACCTTAGGTATGGCCACCAGTGCCTTCAGCCTGCAAAAGTTGCGTAATCATTAAAAAAAATAATTATAATAAAATAAAATGAAAAATATATGATGCCAGAAATATTTATAAGTTTGGGAAATTTTCATGCGAATCATGCAATTCTTATGCATTTACATATCTTGTTAGAAATTATATTAGAATATTGTTTATTTCCAGTTATTTCCTGCTTATGGACTTCCTTTTAATTCCTGTTAATTATAAAAGTTTTTATTTTTTATTTATTTGATTTGATTATGGAAATCTTGTAGATACGAGTGTTATTTCTTTCCTAAGTTAAGATCCTAGTAAGCTGTATTTAAGCCAACATTTCGTATCAATAAAAGCAATCTGTTTAATTCTCCAAACGTACATGATATTAGAGCTAAAGATCTTACACTAGCCGCCAGAAATTCTCCCTGCAGCCTCCAGCAACCGAAACTCCTCCCTGCAAGTCTCCAGCCGCTAGAACTCCTCCCTGCAGGCCTCCAGCCACCAAAATTGCTCTCTGCAGACCTCCAGCCGTCGAAACTCCATACGGGCCTCTTTTCTCAATGCAGGCCTCCTCCCCGACTTCTTCCTACAGCAAAAATTTTATGTTTTTTTTCCTCCAAGGCCAGCACTCCCTGTACTAGGAGTTCCCGTTGTAGTTCCTCCTCCGATCGGAACTCCTTCCTGCAATTAGAAAAACTTCCCTGTAGGTTGTCAAATATAGGGATCGACTCCTTCTGTGCCATGGCGGCCAATCCTCTCCTTTGGCTCTATTGGAGCCATAGTTGACTCTTCCACCTCCGAGCTTCCGTTTAATGTTGTTCTTGAGTCCACCGTAAATTTGGCATCTACCCCAATACCTCCGTAGACCATAGGACCTAAATAACACATGAATTTCCCGATTACCACTCATAAACTTAAGAGTACCGATTTCCTCTAGTGGTTTCAAGCGGTTTCATAGTTCGTCAAAGAGCAAGGTAAATTCAACCACCCACGGGTACAATTCTAGAACCTCTGAAGACTGACCCAACATATATTGGAGAACTCTATGATTATGTTGTGTTTAATTAATTACATGGAAACCTCTATTGGTCATTATTACCTATTTCTTCCTCCTAAAGTGCCCTCCAGACTACCGTTGCGATAACAACTCGAACTTAAGTAATTTTGGACAATCTATGAATTTCATAATAAAGTCCGCGAGACTAAATAGGGATCAAAGATGGTGACCCAATACTACGAAGACTTGGTTGTTTTAAAGATGGAATGTGATCTCTACTATGACTACACTTGGAACTCTCCTACAGACCATTCCCACACTTTGATAAGATTTTGATCAAGGATCGTGTGTTTACCACAGTCATCCCAGCTTTCATATGTAATACAATTATACATTAATGTTTGTTGAAAAAAATTTATCTTCTTTTAGATTCAAATTTGTCAATTAACTAAATATCAATGTGTACCATATTCACCTGGAGGCCCTCTCGAACTTCGAGCTATACCAATAAATGGTGATTTCTCACTCTAATTGATGATCACACTAGCATGACTCAGGTCTATGTATTAAAAGTAAATCTGAAAATGTTGTCATATTTAAAAAAAATTCACTCATTTATTCTAACCCAATTCAAAAACACCATTCAAGTCCTTCAAACAGACAATGATCCTGAGTACTTTAACTCTATATTGGGAGAATTTTTAGTTCGTAAGGGAATCCTCCATCGTAATTCCTGTACGGATACCCCTCAACAAAATGGGGGTAGCAGAGCGGAAAAAGACACCTTTTGGAAGTTGTTGATTCCATTATGTGTGTTCTATGCAGTTTTGGAATAATGTTATCCTTACCACAACCTACCTCATCAATAGAGTTCCCACAAAAATTGACAATTTTCAAACCCATTATTAGTCTTAATGCCATATTTTCCTACCAAGGTTATTCTCCTTGTCAAATCTCAAAATCTTTGAGTGCACGACCTTTGTTCGAAACAAAGCCTCGACATCTATTAAATTTGATCCCCGCTCAATTAAAAGTATCTTCTTTGGTTATTCTGTCACTCAAAAAGGTTATCAGTATTTTAATCCTACTACCATTAAAATGTATGCTAGTGTCGACACCTCTTTTACTGAAAATGTCCCATTCTTCACTAGCACTTGCCTAAGGAGCTTGATTTTTTGGAAAGTTTTCTTTTCTGACTTAGTGGACATTTCTCCTACAACTAAGGCCAATATTCCCGGTGCACTATCAACACCGTTGAATTCAACACCAGTCGAGCCAACCCCATCACCCCACCTCTCTGTGTCTATACCCGTTGTACAAAGCCCTCTGTTGAGACTCATCGCAATGCCCCTACCATCAAGCCCGCTACAAATCTTAGAGTTCACTCCGACCGATGAACCCAATATGATGCTCTCTCCACCTACGAGGGCTCCTCTTCATCCGAGAGAAAATTTGCATCCTCTATTGAGTTACGCGAACAGATATGTTCATGTACTCTTTAACCCCTTTATCCCATGGCAAAATACATCTCGTTCTATAACCTATCTCAGTTCTACAAAGCATTTCCCACATCCTTGACAAATCGTTGTCTCCTATCCACTATTGAAGCGGCTTTGGTTGACCCATCATGGAAGGCTACTGTCATGGACGAGATGAATACCCCTCAGTGCAACCATAATTAAAATGTAGCTAATCTTCCCCCGGGAAAGAAAGTTGCGGGTTGTCAGTAGAATTTGAACACCAAATTTAACTCTGATGGCTACTTTGAATGCAATAATGTGTGGTTGGTTGCCAAAGGATATTCACAAACTTATGGAACTGATTATGAAGAGATGTTTGTTCAGTTACTAATCCAAATAACATTTGAGCCCTGTTATCCCTAGTCGTGAATCTAAATTGGTCCTTCAGCTGGGCATCAAGAATGCTTTTCTAACGACGATCTCGTTGACGAGGTTTATATGTCTCTCTCATTGGGATTTAACTCGACTTCTTCCCATGAACAAGTGTGTCGATTGCGGAAGTCCTTCTATAGACTGAAACAATCCCCACGAGCTTGTTGCAGCAAATTCACGCAAGTTTTAGTGGGCTATGGTTTCTCTCAGGCTCAATCGGATAATAAGTTATTTTTTCATCATTCGTCTGGTAATTGCATTGCCATCCTCATCTTCTATGTCAACGACATTGTGTTCACGGGTAACGATCTGTTGGCCCTAGGGTCTCTCAAGGTCATCCTCGCCGCATCTCTTGAGATGAAAGACTCAGGTTCTCTTCGGTATTTCATAGGCACAGAAGTAGCTCACTCATCTTGGAGCATTTGCCTTTCCCAATACAAATATGTGATGGATTTATTAACTGAGACTAATCTACTTTGAAAATTGGTAGATGTCACAATGAAACTCAATGAGGAATTATTTGAAGTTCCCAATGTCGTTTCAGTGAACAAAACACACAACCAGCACTCGTGGGTAAGCTCATTTACCTTGCTCATCCACTCTCTAATATTTGCATTGTCGTGTCATAAGTCAGTTTATGCGTGACCCCTACGAGCATCATCTAATTGTTGTCCATTGGATCCTCCACAATCTAAAAGACACACAGGTCTTGGGTTTATTGTTCGCTCATCACCTCTAGCTCAACTAGATTTTAACGGATGTTGATTGTGCCGGGTCCAATCATGATCGACAATCTACCTCAAGTTATTGCCCCTTCATGTGAGGGAACCTTGTCACTTGGAAAAAGTAAAAAAAAAAAGATTGTTGTTGCCTGTAATAGTGTTGAAGCTGAGTTTCGCTGTCTTTGGATGTGTGTGAAGCTCTCTGATTGTGAATCATGTCCCGCGAGTTACGTAAGTCGATCAACATTCCTGTACAATTTATTTGATGACAATAAAACCGCCATTAACATTGCTCATAATCCGGTTCAACATGTTATACCAAACATGTGGAGATTGCCCGCCACTTTATCAAGTAGAGACTTGATTTTTGGGAGATTTGTATTCTGTTTGTCTCATTCGTTGGTCAACTGGATGGTATTCTCACAAAGAATCTATCTCGCCCGTTGTTTGATGATTTCAAGTCTAAGTTGAACATGATTGACATTTATGATTCAACTTGAAGGGGAGTGTTAGAAATTATATTAGGATTTCATTTATTTCCTGTTATTTCCTATCTATGAATTTTCTTTTATTTACGACTAATTATAAGAGGTCTTGTTTTTTGTTTATTAAATTTGATTCTTGTAATAAAGGAGATATGAGTGTTATTTCTTTACTAAATTAAGATTCTAGTAAAAAAAAAAGGACTCTAGTAAGTTGTACTTGGCTGACATTTCGTATCAATAAAAGTATTCCGCTCAATTCTCCAAACCTACATATCTCACAACTAAACTTTCATATTTACATATATAGCACATTGGTGTTTTAAACCTATGCATGAAAAAATTGATTTCAATTTTAAAAGTGATGATGGTGTTATTTTCTATATAATATTAAAGATTTGAGTGTGTAAATAGAAAAGTTTAGGTGTGAGATATGTAAATACTTGAGAAATGTGTGCTATGTATGTAAATAAGCCTATAACTTTTTATGCTCAAGAGTAATGATAACAACTGGTTTTATTTTCAAAAGATTTACATGTATACCACCAATTCCCACGTGTTTGCATATCTGACACCTAAAATTAAATTTTTAATAGATTTGGAAACGTGAATTTCACTTTTTAAAAGTTAAAATGGTGTCGTTTTTTATGTGATATGAAAGATTTGGCTGGTAAAAATTAAAATAAAATTCTGGTGTAGATATGTAAATATTTGGGCGGTATGTATGTAAATACCCCTTTAATTGTCGCTTTTTAGGATTTAAACCCCGACCTTCTCTTGAGGAAAGGGCCAATGCCATTGGTCCGAAAACCCAGTGGTTTGAACAACTGAAAGATGCAAAGATGGCGGAAGAGGGCCAGATGAAAGACACAATCAAGGTTGGTATGCATTGGTATTAAGTGTACAAAATTTGAACTTCAGACTC